CAGTCCAAAATGGGCTCTGGCTTCTTTATGATTATAAAAGTTATATTATGTCAAATACTTCCTTGAACTTTTCTAGCATTTAAAGACTAAAAAGTACAATTTAACGCAAAATTGGCCTGAAACCATTATCTAATTGAAACAAAAGTTTTTATACAGTATAATTAAAAAAAAAAAAAAAAAGAATTCCTCTAATATTGTGGTCTTTGGGGTATATACAGAAGTCAGAAATGACCAAATTGTGCAACTTAAACATGTCGTTTTTTGTATGCCAATTAAGCTGTTTTAAAAAATAATTTCCCCAATTTAAAAATTGAGACAAGGAAAAATATTTTGAGGATAAGATCTGGAAAGATCGCTATGCAGAATATTTAGTACTTAAGGGTCTTTTACAAGAAGTATGCCATCATTCCTCTGTGTGCTGAGACTGTGCTTTAGGAAATTTTAATTGAATAATGACTTAGCTATCTCTTCCTTTTTCTATTACATATCAATATATTATGTAACTGTATTGATGTTGACATCTATATTCCAATAAATATCCTATTCCTCTTTCAAAAGAAAATATCCTAAATGAAGGAAGCAGTACCAAATTTCAACATATCTGTAAACAGTAAAATATACTTTTCATTCAAATTAGATGAAATGTTCTGTTCTGATTTAGAAGTTACATCCAGATCTTGTAAAACTTTTTTGTTTATAATTTATCATAGGTCTAGAGATATGTTTTTGGAAATTCTATTTAATAGAGACTGTTTCAGGCATCTGAAAGGGCCAAAAAGTAAATATTTTAGGCTTTGTAAGCCATGTTGTCTCTGTTGCAACTATCTGACTCTGCTGTTTTAGTTCCAAAGCAACCAGACAATATGTAAGTGAACGTGTGTAGTTGGGAACCAATAAAACTTCATTTACAAAATCAGGTAGCAGGTCTGCCTTCTGCTGACCAATGCTCTAAATAGTAGATAAAGCCACCCTGACTTTCTTTCCTTTTTCATATTTTCTTCCTTTTTGAAATAACTGGCTAAGAAGTACCTATAATAAATTTATTTCTATGCTTCTTTAAACAGCAACTAGAGATTAAAAATGAACTCAGAATATTACTGAATAACATCTAATCTCTTACTTGGAGACCTGTTTCTAGTCAAGTTATAATACCTCTGCCCTTGAAATTCTCAATCGGCCACTCTTACCTAACCAGCAAGACTATATAAAAGACTAAATAAATGCACTTCTTTAACGTATTTATGATGAAATTTTATTCAGCTTACAAAATCCTTGGTTAAATGAACACTAATTTAGATGTAGGGGAAAGAAAACAAAATCAATACCCTGAAATCTAATACACACATAATAACCTTTTTTTGTTGTTAAAAAAGTTCGGCAATCGAACTTAAATTATTGAACTATGGGCAATACCTTAGGTTTATAATGCAAAGTGCCTAATAAAAATTCTAGATTCTTCATTTACTGATACATACCTGGGAATTACTGACTTAATCAGATATTCTCTAAGATGAAATAGAGCAGACTAACATCAAACACGGACCAAACAGATACATTTAGAGAACTATTCTGACTTTCTGTTGCACTGGGTTAGCTGTGCCCTGGTAGCATGACAGCAGTAGTAGAAAGAATCTAGCTCTTCTCTTTACGGCAGTGTGTAATGGCCACGGCTCAACAGCTTGACCAAAATCCATCTTAGCTCTGCCTCAGTTTAGGCAAAACCCAAACACTAAGTCAATGAATAAATCAACATGTATAAAAAGTACATTATATTCTGTGAGAACAGACTTCAGTGACATGATGAGGATGGCGTTAAAAAGCACCACAGATATTTATTTCAGGTGCCGTTCTTTTAAGTGCCACAAATAAAGATAACATTAAAGAATGAAATCATTAAATACACACTTGTTGCTGAGCATAAGGGAGCTGTGAATCAAACGTTCCTATGAATCAATACACTAATTAGGTCTTTCAGTTAAAACTGTTCAAAGTGTATGTTTGTGAACACCATTTTCTATATTGCTGCTATCCTGTGTTTACCAGCTGCACTAAATAAATAGGAAATGAGATGACATTTTTCTTAGCAGCAAAAACAAGCTATGAGACTTGAACGAATGCTCAGTGAAAGCACAGTCATAGGTCAATGAGTGATTTCATTCTAGAAGTCGTCACACACACAACCCAAACTGAGATGCACGGGAAAAATAAATAATGACCGACCTCTTGTTGCTGGAAGACGTCTGTGTATTTGCCCAGGCCCAGTTTACTGAAGAGCTCAGGGAGGTCAGAGCCTTTGAAAGAGCTGTTCAGGTTACAGCCATTGCTTCCTGTCAGCGAAGAAATGCAGTCCATGTAATTGCTACTGCTGAGATAGTGTTCCGCTGAAAGGCAAGCAAGAGACAGGCTTGAAGTGTAAATGCCCAGAGAGAACAAGGTTTAATTAAAAGTTTTAATCACTCAAATATTTCAAATTCATTGTCGGGCTGAACAGAACAGTAGCTGCAGAAATACAGCAATCCTTTACTGAAACATTAGCTTTTCATTAAGGAAATGCTGGTTATTGCTTTTAGAGAGGCTCTTGCCATTTTAAAGGTTACACTCGGGAGGCAGCAATTCAGCAACAGTGCCTCTGTAGTTAATAATCATTAATCATATTCTCCCAGAGCACTTGGAAACATTTGTTCTTCATAACTGATTGGATGTGAATTAAATGAGGAATAGGAAGGGAGACCCCTAGGACACAATAAAGGTAAGGAAAGTTACTTTAAGTTCAGGCTCCTTTTGGATGGCAGGATGGCTCTCTGTATCCACACTTGCGCTTACCTGCGGTTAAAGGAATTCTATGATATTGTACCATATAAATCTCTTTAAAAATATATTTGGTCATTGAGCTCAAAAAATAGAGCGCTTCCAAAATTAAGAGTAACATTTGAAGTGATGAGATGATGGTGAAGTTCCTGGATCTAATTTATGACAGAAACAAATCTTTCTCGAGAAAAATTCTAAGACAGCAATGCCGAGCTTTTCCTGGCCTTTGTGGCCAATTTGGTGGGCAAAAATTTCTCCACATCACCTGTGTTTCTGAGGCCCTGGATAATGGGCATGCATCCCTGGATAATGGGCTAATGAGCCATGCCAAGTACTTGGCCAAATAGTTTAAACACTCTTCAAGAGTTGCTTTGGAGATTCCAGCAGAACTGAGTAACCATTCTTACCTTCCTGACCAACGACTGGCTCTCGTACAGTGCGAATTCTATCCTCTTATACCAAACATGCAGCTTCACAAGGGATTCCCAGGGAGAGGAAGGAAGGAGGACACTCAGCCAGTCAGATTCATCTAATCTCTGTGACCAATGCATTTGCTAAATCTAAGAATCTTGTTCTGCATCGATTTGGGGTATCACTAATCACTTTCTCAAGTTCTTTTCATCTCAATTGTGCAGTCCTTTATGTATCTCAAGTCAAAAGAATTTCTTGATAAGGGTTTTCTTTCTCTTAAAAATAGATATGTTATCTCTTGTGGAGAGAATGTGTAGAGGAAGGGATCCAGGACCAATCCCTGAAGGCCCTCAGCCCTGAGCACTCCACAGTCTGTAGATAAGGCCCCAGAGTCATCAAAAAAGAATGAAGAGGGGTGACCAGTGAGATCCTGAGTCACTGTTAATGCAGAACATTATATGATGTCACACTGGAGTGAAAACTGGACTTAACAACATGGCAGATTGACCATGTAATTTATATCCAAATGATAAATTTTCTTTTTTTGAGGATAAAAGTGAGAGTTACTGAGAATTAATACTGGAACAGCTGGTGTAAACAGGGATGCCTAGGGAACCTTGACAAGGGTGGGTTATCTAAAACTGTGCTGTTCAATACAGTAGTAGCCACTGGCCCCATGTGACTATTGGGAAGTAAAAAGGTTCTATAAGTAAAATACATACCAGATTTAAAGACTTAGTACAAAAAAAGAATTCAAAATATATCATAAAATTTTTTTACATTGATTACACAGTTAAATGGTAATATTTTACATATACTGGGTTAAGCAAACACACTAATAAAATTTGAGAAAACAGCTGTGTTAAAATAAAATATTCTTAGTGAAATAACTTTCTTTACATTTCTTTTAACTGCTTATAGTTTCCATATTCTCTTTTAAACTCCCTATGCTCTTAAAACATTTGACAAAAGCCAAATAACTGCTTTTTTAATCATTCTTTTTATTAATGAATCCCTTATCTTAACCCTAATCCTGACCTTCAATACAGCCAAGTTGTACAGTCAGTTTTAATTATCCAGCATTAAGTAAAGGGCAAGGAAATAAAGATAGAAAAAGAGAGGCACAAAACTAATTTAAATAGGGCTACAGAAGGGAGATCATTTCCACCCCTAGTCCTGTACCTGGCACCAGCCTGCCTCTCAGCTCCATCCTCCTGTCAGTGTTGGAGGAGCTAGCCCATAACTAATAGGGAATGTCCAGTCTACAACTGACAGTACATTTGGGAATGAAGGAATTGACTGTGTTTTCTAATTTACACTTGACCAACACCACACTGCTCTTTTCAAATCTGAGACTCTTGACAGCATGGCCAACTTGACTGATGGTAACAACTGACTTACTAAGTGTCTACTATGCTCCTTTAGATTGCCTTTCTTTAAGTAATCTTCAAATACTCCATGCTACGTGTTTCGGAATTCCAAATTTGTCAAAAACTCTCAACAAGGCATCCGGGGCATTTCTTGTAATTACTTTTATCAATTCTTGTCTGTTTACCTTTTTATACATACAGCCCACTGGAGTCATGCTGATTCTTAACCATATTTGTTCAAAGCCAGACCCTTATGCTTCAAAGTTTTTTTCTATTTGTGTCAATTCAGCTACATCTTGTCAATTAGAAAATTAAATTCTGCTTTTAATTTGTAGTAGCTACCCACTAGGCAGACTTTCTTCTATTGTCCAAGATGCTAATTTGATCACATGCTACTTAACTCTTTTACATCCCTGTCTTTTCCTGATGAGGAAAGACATTTTCTGGATGTTTGTGTGTATTTAACTCATTCCTACATTCCTTCAACAAACATTTACCGAGCCACTACCAGGTATCAGACACTGTTAGACATTTAGGAAGAAATAACAAGGCATAGCCTAACAGAATGCCTGTCACGTGGGCACTTAATAAGTGTTTATTGAATGAATAAATATCCCTGGCTTGAGGAACCCAAATTCTACAAGAGACAGATGTGTAAATATGTAATTACACACTGGCGTGACAAATGCTAGAGTGAAATAATATACAAAATGCAGTGAAAGCAGAGAACTACCTGGTCTGCTTCACTGGGAAAAATTAGGAAGGCTTCACAGAGGTGGTGGCATGTGAGTAACGGCAAACACTTGACGGCGTTGAGGCCAGAGCTTATACTTGAACATCATCACCCTCAACCAGAGAAACAAATTCCAAGCTAATTTAATCTAAAAGTATGATTAAAAGTCACGGCTCACTTGATTTGTTTTGTTTACGCTTGGGGCTGCCAACAGAAGCTGCAAATTCACTGTGACTCGTGGGTCCTATTCCATTTCGGTCTCTCCAGTTATCAGATTCGCTTCCATTCCCCAAGTGCTCACGACTGTTGGACCTCGAGAGCGACACTGATGAGCCCTGTAAACAAGAAAAGCCCGATAAGGAAATGTTTAATAAGGTGGGTTTACCAGGGTGGGGGCAGAAAGGAATCCCTTAAACCATTGCCATTTACTTCTATTGCCAGCCACTGCAGTTACCCACAAATGCTGATTCTCGAGAAGTGGCTATGGTATCTGTATATAGTCTTTGTCCTCCAGCCACCAAGGACACTTCGTATGTAATACACATAGTGAAGTCCTTTTCTTTCGTTATGTGGGTGCCAGCTTTCATTCTCAGAGCCCCAGGTATGATGACTCACTCTGAGATTTAGAGCAGATCTTAGTGGGTGCTAAGATCCCTCCCTATTTGGGGGAACCATAAAACACATCTTCCATCTGGTACAGCAGAGATTCCCTTCATTATATCTCACAAGAAACGTGGAAGAGTTGCAGCTGACCTAACGCTTTGACAGGAATCAAGCTCCCAGGCTAAATGAGTCAGAGGGTGGAGAGAGATCTGGCATTTCTCCTGTGTTGTCCTCAAATAGGCTCTCTCCAACAAATTACAAATACTGGGAAAAGTCTACCTTTTTTAATGGCCCCCAATCAAAATTTTAGAAATAATGTACAACATCTCAAAGTTTATGCTGAACTTGCATTTATTCACTCCTTTATTCATTGAGTTAATCCCCCTATTACAGGTACCCTACTTTGTACTGTATCTAGAGTACTAAAGTCGAGATTCTCTGATTTCCAAAGTTTCACGTTCACTGGGGAATTCCAAAAGGATCCTGCACTATTCACTTCAATAATCTCAACTCAGTCGCACTGCAGCAGAGCCACAGCTGACCATGTCCTCCTTTAACGCGTCCTCCTCCAAGGCATCATGGCACCACACTACCCAGGTTTTCCACCTACCTCACTGTAGCCTTGTAGGATCTCCCTCCCCCTTTCCTACCCAAATGTCCCATCACCTTGGGGCTTGACCCTACCATTCCTTCACTGCTCTCTCTATGCTTTCATATTAAGTAATCTCAACCTCTTTCAAGGCTTGAGACAACCATAACTCCCAAATTTTTACCTCCAGGTTTGATTTCTCTGTTCAAATTTGGTATAATAGAGCTGTCAACTTGACACCTCTATTTTACTGTCTCATAGGCATTTTAAACTTAGAGGGTTTGAAATCAAATCGTTACCCATCCCCACCAGCTATACCCAAACCTAGTCCTCTCCCGGAATTCCTACACCAATAAATGACTAACATTCACCCGGCTGTTCAAGCCAAACTTCTAACAGCCATCTCATTCCTCCCTCCCTCAGCACACGCGATCCATCAGCAATTCTATCAATGTCCTCTCTAAACATATCCCAAACCTACCTGCTTCTCTCCATCTCCAAAACTGTCACCAATTGCCTCCTTAACCCATTTCCCATCTGCCCTGAGAACACTCACCAGCGGCACTTGGGGTGCAGCGTTTATCCCAAGATAACTCATGAATTACAATCCTAACCTTACCCTCAAAGTTTGCCACAAAATATCTTGCTTTTATTATTATTTTTGCATCGCTCTAGTGTATTGGTACTCTTTGAAAACAAATGATATCATCTACTTATAGCATTTGGTTTTTAGTCATGGTATTTCCATTCACAAAACACAGTAATTCTCGATCACTGAAAATGTCAAATCCTAGATGTTCCACTTTGTGTTGTTCAGTGCTTTGAAATTTACCACATGAAAAAAAATTATTAAATACTGGTCATCATATACATTTCTATTACATTAGGATTAGAGACAAGTTCTGTTTAGAAATAACTCCAAAAAGTTTTTGTATTTTATTTTCATATTGAAAATCAGTCAGATTGGCTTTAGCCTCAAAGAGCGTGTTTATGTAAAATTAAATTAATGCTGGCAGTGAGCTGCACTTCTGTCTTCCTAAACGGGAAATGGGTTAATAGACATTTTGATTCTACTCTTGCCTCCCACCCCAAAAATCCATTTTCCGTAAAGCAACTAGGTTGATTTTTAAATGCACATTAGGACAAATCATGCCAGTGTATAAAATCTTCTAATACTTTTCTAGTACTTTACAGTGGGCTGAGGTGCTCCATAATTGAGCCTCTGCCTATTTCTCCAAGCTAATCTTCGATGCTCTACCACGCTATCCCTCCCCTCCCCACAAACTTACCAGCTAGTTCTGACTTCAGGATGGTCATGCCAGCCGTTCCCCTGGCCTGCTGCACTTTCTCTAGATCTCCACTAGGTTGGCCCTTTTTCGTCATCTAAGTCTTAGTTTGAATATTATCTACTCATTAAGACCTGCTATAACAGCTCAATCTAAAAAGCAGCCTCTGTTTCATATTTAAGGGGACTTTTATTGCCTAATGCTTTCTTGTTTACTTGTTTTGTATCTCTTTCTACCCACCAAAAAGCTCTATCCATGAAAGCAAGAACCTGAATTCAAAGCATTGGATCTCTAGCACCTAGAATTGTATCTGGCACACAAAAGTTGGTTAATAAGTATTTGTGGAATTACTGAATCCCAGAGATACCTTCTCCGATATCTATGGGATGTCCTTTGCTGATTTTTGGAAAGGGGCATAGGAAAAGAAAGACTCCTAAGACCAAAAAGATGGCTTTTCAATTAAAACTATCTATAACATTATACTTCAACCAATAAATTCAATGCAGCAAGGGAAATGAGAACATGCTCAAAACTGGTAATTACCAGAAGCATTAATGAGATCATTCTATATAGTATTTATATATATATATATATATATATATATATATACACATATATATATATAAATAAAAACTGTAGAAAATATAAAAGGCGAAC